AGGCTGGAGTGTAGTGGTGTGATCATGGCTCAGTGTAGCTTAGACCTCCCAAGCTCAAGTGATTCTCCCCACTTAGCCTCCTGAGTAGCTGGGACTGCAGGTGCACACCACCAGGACTGGCTAATTTAAAAAATTTTTTTAATAGAGATGGAGTCTCACTATGTTGCTCAGACTGGTCTCGAACCCCTGGGCTCAAGTGATCCTCCCACCTCGGCCTCCCAAAGTGCTGGGGTTACAGGAGTGAGCCACTGTACCTCTCCTGCCTACATTAAAAAAAGCTCCATATGACCTCATTGTATGGTTGTACTATAATTTACTTAATCAGTCTCTCTTTGGACATTTAAGTTGTCCCAGTTTTCTGCTTTTATAAATATGCTGTTATAAATAGGAATGCATTTATAAATAATGATACTGTTATAAATAGGAACATCTGCCCCAAAGAAATAATAAATCTTGGCTGGGCGTGGTGGGTCACACCTGTAATCACAGCACTTTGGGAGGCCAAGGTAGGCAGATCACGAGGTCAAGAGATGGAGACTCTTGATGGAGACCATCTGGCCAACATGGTGAAACTCTACTAAAAATACAAAAAAACTCGACTAAAAATACAAAAAAAATTAGCTGGGCGTGGTGGCGCCTGTAGTCCCAGCTACTCAGGAGGCTGAGGCAGGAGAATCACTTGAACCCAGGAGGCGGAGGTTGCAGTGAGCCGAGATAGTGCCACTGCACTCCAGCCTGGCAACAGAGCGAAAAGAAATAATAAATCATTGCCAATATTGAAGTTTGTTTATTAAAACATCTTCTTGATAAACAAAGGCTCTTAGTACATATTGCCAGACTTTACCCAAAAAGGTTATATGAATTTTCTTTCCCACCAGCAGTATATGAGAATGTGTCTTTCACTCAGCTCTTACAAGCTGGGGCTATTCACCTTAAAATTGTTTATTCTTGTTATGCAAAACATGTTACCTTATTTCACTGTACTTAAACAAAAAAGTAGTAGTGATGGCCAGGTGCAGTGGCTTACACCTGCAGTCCCAGCACTTTGGGAGGCTGAGGTGGGCGGATTGCTTAAGCCCAGGAGTTCAAAACCAGCCTGGGCAACATGGAGAAATCCCATCGCTACCAAAAATATAAAAATTAGCCAGGCATGGTAGTGTGCGCCTGTGGTCTCAGCTACTTGGGAGCTGAGGTGGGAAGATCACCTAAGCTCCAGAGGTCAATGCTTCAGTGAGCCATAATAGCACCACTGTACTCCAGCCTGGGTGACAGAATGAGACCCTGTCTCAAAAAAACAAAAAGCTAAAAAAACTAATGGTGATGTCCTAATTCCTTTTCTTTTTTTCTTTTTTTTTTCTTTTTCTTTTCTTTTTTTTGAGATGGAGTCTTGCTCTGTTGCCCAGGCTAGAGTGGAATGGCATGATCTCAGCTCACTGCAACTTCCGACTCCCAGGTTCATGTGATTCTCCTGAATCAGCCTCCCGAGTAGCTGGGAATACAGGTACCCGCCACCATGCCCAGCTCACTTTTGTATTTTTAGTGGAGACAGGGTTTCACCATGTTGGTCAGGCTGGTCTTGAACTCCTGACCTCAGGTGATCCTTCTGCCTCAGCCTCCTAAAGTGCTGGGATTACAGGTGTGAGCCACCACGCCTGGCTGTTTTCTGCTGCTATAACAGAGTATCATGGATAAAGTAATTTGTAAAGAAAAGAGATTTATTTGGTTCATGGTTCTGGAGGCTGGGAAACCCAAAATCATGGGCTTCCCAAAGGGTCACATCTGGCCAGGGCCTTCTTGCTGCATCATAACATGTCAGAAGGCATCACATGGCATTCCCACTCTGACGAAGCCATTCTCCCCTCGATAACAGCATTGATCTATCCAGAGCCCTCATGACCTGATTACCTCTTAAAGGGCCCACTTCTCAACACTGTTAAAATGGCAATTAAATGTCAACATGAGTTTTGGAAGGGACTTTACAACCATAGAAGATGTTGATCACTTTTTTTTCAAGTATTTTGTATTTTTTTTCTGGGAAGTGATAGTGTTTTTATTGTTGAGTTTAAGAAAAATAGTGAATTTGGCTTTTTACCTTGTATCATGTCTGAGTAGACAGTCTACTTTTTCCATTACTGCCAATTTCCTTTATATCTGTTTCAGATTTATCTCTCATGAATTTATGTAAACTCTTTTTGAACCTGTAGGATTTTTCGGTCCTTCAAGCTTCTAGAAGTTTTCCCCTGTGCTACCTTTCAGAGCGTGGGAAACAGTTCCACAGCCAAGTCTGGTTACCTTTTCTTTTGGCACTTTCCCCTCAGACTTTACATTCCTAACCTTTTCTGTTGGTTTTCCTGAGGAGTATCGTTCACCCCAAATTCTACTTGCAGAGGCTGCAAGTACATGAAATACTTCCTGTGATTTGTAAAACTGGATCTCAAAATGAAGGTGAATGCATATTAAGCATATGTAGATGCCTTTTAAGTGTGTGAGAATAGAAGATACTATTAGAGATTAGGGATTAGTTTATTTCTCCATCCTTAAGTCAAATAGTGGTGTTTGGCTATGAGCTATGCCTAAGTGGTTGCCAGTCTTTTCCGCATGGTCTTGCTATTGACTGCTTTTCATTGCTTCCACTTCAGTGTGCTCCAGGGAAGGAAACAAGGACAGTTGGAGAATTAGATTGAAATTTAAATCCCAATGTTATAATTTACCTGCTTAATAATCTTGGACAAATAATATGGCCCCAATGGGCCTTTGTTACTTCCTAGAATAAATGTGAGGATTAAGTGGGATCTCATGATCTGCCTCACTGGCTTGGGATGTAAAGTTGATCATGCTTTTTAAAGTTTTCTAATTAATCATTTGAATCTCTACTTGCCAATAAGGGCAAGAAGTCTGCGATCCTGTATTTGAAATCTTCTTTACAAATTGACCGAGAACCTTACTCTTCCCAAGGAAATCTCCTTCCCATCTCCAGCTGGGGAAAAACTTGGAAAAGCCTGACCAGCCCGCTGGTAGGCCCTGGGATCACTGCTGTTGTTTCTGTTGGGACCTTTTGATGGATTGGCCCCACCCAGTCCAGTGGGCCTTTATCCATTGCCACCATGTCCCTTCTGGTCCAGTCCTCGCACACAACATGGCGGTGTCCAAGCCTGGGCTCTCAAGATGACTTCTCTTCAGGTCACATCCATATACTTAGTCATTGTGTCCTGTGGCATCTGTCCGGGGTGACTGGACACAGAGGAACCTGTCATCAGGCAAGAAACCCCTGTCTTTCCTGGTGCATATTAGAACCAGCTGACCTCAGTTGGAAACATCCTAATTCTTCTGAGAAATTCTGATAACACCACACTTTTTTTTTTTTTTTTTTTTGAGACGGAGTCTTGCTCTGTCACCCAGGCGGCCAGGCTGGAGTGCAGTGGCACGATCTCCGCTCACTGCAAGCTCTGCCTCCTGGGTTCATGCCATTCTGCCGCATCAGCCTCCCGAGTAGCTGGGACTACAGGCACCCGCCACCACGCTCGGCTAATTTTTTGTATTTTTAGTAGAGACAGGGTTTCACTGTGTTAGCCAGGATGGTCCCGATCTCCTGACCTTGTGATCTGCCTGCCTCGGCCTCCCAAAGTGCTGGGATTACAGGCGTGAGCCACCGTGCCTGGCCAACACTACATTTTAAAAGAGGAGTGGCCAAGGTCACCTTTCTCCTTCCCCCAGGAGGCTCCTTAAGGCTGCTATGCATATTTAGCCCCCTCCCGTCTATCAGCACTGAGTACCCAGCAATCACAAAAGTTGCTGTCACACCGCCTCATCAGGAATGGGGGTGCTTATACCATCCTCATCAGGAATGGAGGTGCTTATACAAACCTTAAATTTGTATAACTAAAAAGGGCCATTCAAGTGATTCTTCCTGGGAACAAAGAAGGTTGATACTTTGGAAGGCTGAGGTGGGCGGATTGTGAAGTCAGGAGATCGAGACCATCCTGGCTAACACGGTGAAACCCCGTCTCTACTAAAAATGCCAAAAATTAGCTGGGTGTGGTGGTGGGTGCCTGTAGTCCCAGCTACTTGGGAGGCTGAGGCGGGAGAACGGCGTGAACCCAGGAGGCAGAGCTTGCAGTGAGCCGAGATCGCACCACTGCACTCCAGCCTGGGTGACAGAGTGAGACTCCGTGTCAAAAAAAAAAAGGTTGACTAAGGGGCTTTTGGACATTATGTAGACAGACACCCCTGACACCTTCTCTTACTAAATAAGTAAATAAAATTCTGTTTCATCAGACATAGCCACATATGTGTAAAGCACCTACCCCACCTGTATTAGTCTGTTTTTATGCTGTGAATTAAGACATACCCAAGACTGGGTAATTTATAAGGGAAAAAGGTTTAATTGACTCGCAGTTCCACATGACTGGAGAGGCCTCACAATCACGGCGGAGGGCGAAGGGGAAGCAAGACACGTCTTACATGGTGGCAGAAAAGGCAAGAGCATGTGTAGGGGAACTCCTCTTTATCAAACCATCAGAACTTGAGAGACTCACTATCATGAGAACAGCATGGGAAACACCCACCCCCTTGATTCAGTGACCTTCCAGCAGGTTCCTCCCATGACACATGGGAATTATGGGAGCTATAATTCAAGATGAGATTTGGGTGTGGGGGAACACAGCCAAACCATATCACCACCTCTGTCACCCCTGAGAAGTGCTCAGAAAGTGTTAGCTGTCTCCCTCCTCCCTTCCTCCTCAGCCTGACCACACCTCTGCATCATTCAAGCTGGGAACACCTTGCCTTCCAGAGACCTTTCCCATTCCTCAGTGTCCATTCTCTGCAGGGCTGTGTGTAAATACACCCTGTGCTGACCCCTTATACGCAACCTCCAGGGAGGTTAGATGGCCAGAGCTGCTTTCAGGGTTTGTTTGCCAAAGGCAGTTTATTCTTTTTTCAAATAGTTAGAATTTACTTCACATTTGAATCCAACTTGTGTTTTTATACAGTCAGCATGTCCTGAGCATTCTGTCATGGAAAAGAATTTGCTCATCCAAGAATAAACAATGCTTAGCTAGTATCCCTCTTGAGACAGGTAGAGGCGTTTATGAAGTGTGCCTTGTTACTAGCCTGTGCCCCACAAATAAACTTTCTGCTGTGAGAAAGGGTGTGGCACCTGCTTTTTTGGAGGTTTAGTTTCACAGAACCATACAGTCCTTGTCTGGTTTTGCCAGCAGTGCCTGCTTAGAACGCACAGAGGGGCCCTGGACACTGTGGTCAGAGGCTGTCCTCAGACCCCATCTCTATTGCAGACCAAGCTCTTTACCACATCCCTTTGCAGGATTCCAAGATGTCCCTAGGAGGCCCAGGAGTATGTATCTCCAAGTAGACTCTTATCTCCAAAAGCAAGTGACAGCTCCCTTGAATTATTTTGGGTGAAGGAATTGGTTTTCACATGTTTCATGAGGCATAATTAGGTGCCTAATACCATATTACTCTTGCAGGTGTTTAATTATTGACTTTAGACACAGATTCTAATAGAAATAGAAGAAAAACTGTGACAAATTCTGAAGTTTTCCTGAAATTATTCGTAGTCCCTCCTGACATTTCCTCCACCGGCTGTTTTTTTTTCTTGCTCTAATATTTCCAACAGACATGCTTTGCTAATGGTACGAGGTGTGGCTTTGTTGTTTTTTCCGGAGTTAGCCTTTCTGTCTATGCATCTTGGCTCTTTGAAATCCCAGCTGAATTTGGAGAAATTGTTTCTTGGCATCCACCCTGCTTTCCTGGGACACAATGTGATGCTGATGACATAGCCCGGTCACTCCACTTGACAACAAGTTTGTTTGTCTCATCTCAAAAACATATTCAGTGGTGAGTAAGAACAGAAGTGGAAAGCCTTACTTACCGCAGTTTATTATGTGTTTCATGCCCGTGATAATTACTTTTATAATGCCACTTGTGAAAAAATTGATCAGATTAGGATGAATCACCTTGCTGGCCAACAGTTATTGGAATGATTCTCCACGTGTGACTTCGTTGCACTATTACAAAATGTGGCAGGATAGACCTGCCCAGCCATTGTTGCCGGTGTTCATTTGTAATGCTGCCTTAAGGAGATGAGGACATGAGAGCCAATTGTTCCAGCAGCTCAGCCTGCCCTGCCAACAGTTCAGAGGAGGAGCTGCCAGTGGGACTGGAGGTGCATGGAAACTTGGAGCTCGTTTTCACAGTGGTGTCCACTGTGATGATGGGGCTGCTTATGTTCTCTCTGGGATGCTCCGTGGAGATCCGGAAGCTGTGGTCGCACATCAGGAGACCCTGGGGCATTGCTGTGGGACTGCTCTGCCAGTTTGGGCTCATGCCTTTCACAGCTTATCTCCTGGCCATCAGCTTTTCTCTGAAGCCAGTCCAAGCTATTGCTGTTCTCATCATGGGCTGCTGCCCGGGGGGCACCATCTCTAACATTTTCACCTTCTGGGTTGATGGAGATATGGATCTCAGGTAAGTAACCCCGGGGAAGCTTAGTAGTCTGCCTCTTATCCTGCCTGGGGGGAATAACTGACACTCTCTGTTAAAGACTCTTCCTATCTTTTGGTAGAGATTTTACTGGGTAATGTTACAAATATCACAGAGACTTGTTCAGCCATGGGTGGGCTTTACTTTCAGTGCTCAAAATTTACTTTGCTGGTCATCATTTGATTTATTGGCTGTTCTGAGCAGTGGGATATGTTTCCTATGTGATAGTGGAGGCCGGTCTCCACCTCACCCAGTGGCCCTTCCTAAGCTTGAGCTCTTTAGCAACTGGCCTCTTTAACAACTCCCAGGACTTAAGCCAAGAATCCCAAGAAGCTAATGATTGTGGTTTGGTAGCAGCCATCGTGGCTGTGGTGGCATAGTCAGAATGAGACTCCCGTAGCTCCAGTCAGTGATGCCTGAGCACCTACTTTAGGAAAGAAGCACTTTAGAGGACCGGATAAAGGAGCTTTAGGGGCACCTGGTGGCCATATCCAGCTTTAAGTGCTGGGATGGCCTGTTGATTTGACTTCAGGAGCAATACAAAGGCTCTCAGGACTAAAACAGTTCTTTCTTGTTACTTTGCAGATGGTTAATATCATCACTAGATTCACATTCTTTCCCTTTAAGCCAGTGACCTTATTCCCAATTACGGTGTAGATAAATACCTCTGGGAGACATTAAGCCTTGTCCTTTATTTACACTTTAATGAGGATGAATTAGTCACACGCTTTTCTGGATTACATGTTTTGATGGGGGAAAAAAGAGCATTTGAGGAAGGAGTAGAGGAATCAGCACTGGAAAAAGAACTAGAAACAATGGTCTCTGGAGACTCTTTGCTTACTTGTGAACATACCGTTTCACCTCCTGCCCTGGGGAAGAACTGCTTATAAATTTAAGTCTTTGTTTCATGTGTATGCCATTTAGTTGAGATTTACTCTACCGTGAATGGATGAATAAGAGGTAATGACTGAGCTGGGAGTTGACATCAGTGAGAGTCAGCTGCAGGTATGGGTTTCCAGTTTCCCGCATGTGCTGAATGTTTAGCGTATGGTACATATTTTACCTATAAATTTTAATGGGCTCATACCATGCAGAATAGGAACTAACTTTCACATGGCAGTGTTATTGGTTACCCACTTATGAGAGATTTGAAAAAAAAAAATAACTTGATGAATTTTGTGTTTTACCTTAATGGTAAAAGCCATTAGTATTCATTGCTAATTCAAATTCAATCAAGTTGACTATTTAACTGGGAAATGATAGATATTCTTTGCATGAAGTTCATAAATCAGAGATAAATTCCAGGACCTAAAAGTTTCTGGAAGGAAATAGGAAACTAATACCTATTAAGTAGTCTATAGGCATGGGATAGATGCTTTCATGCTTATTTTCTTCTTGGGGCTCATAATAACCTTGTAAATGGCCTTTTATTATTCTGAATTTTACAGCTGAGAAAATTGTGATTCCGGCTAGTTAAGTAGCTTGCCAAATGCTACAAACCAGTATGGCAGAACTCAGATTTGAATTCACATCTGTTTTACATCAGTCTGCAGTTTAGGTACATTTCCCCCATGACATTTAGCAACACAACTAGATCTTCTGTTTTGAGTAGCAGCATAAATCTTCTCAAACACTTGTGTTCTGGGAAGGAGAACATTTATTACCTTAATCTCTTATTAGTCAATGTTATCATAAAAATACCAATGTATAGGAAATCTATGAAAGATAACGCTAATTTTACTTTCTTTTGCCAACTCTATCTTTAATTCACCTTTAACTTTGTTCAAATTATTTAACCTATCTAAGCCTTATCTCATCATTGGCAAAATGGGGTTAAATTTACCTGTTTCTCACAAGACTGTATATATATGTACACACACTCACACACACACATATAGATAATAGTTTGGGGTGGAGTTTCGCTCTTGTTGCCCAGGCTGGAGTGCAATGGTGCGATCTTGGCTCACTGCGACCTCCACCTCCTGGGTTCAAGCGATTCTCCTGCCTCAGCCTCCTGAGTAGCTGGGAATACAGGTACCCGCCACCATGCCTGGCTAATTTTTGTATTTTTAGTAGAGATGGGGTTTCACCATGTTGGCCAGGCTATTCTCAAACTGCTCACCTCAGGTGATCCTCTCGTCTTGGCCTCCCAAAGTGTTGGGATTACAGGCGTGAGCCACGGCACCTGGCTGACACAAGACTATATGTTATGGAGGAAATATATACTTGTGTGTGTGTGTGTTTGTGTGTGTGTATTCAGGGTGCCAGGCACATAGTAGCTGTGCAATAAATATTATCTATGTTTCCTCTTTTCTTTCTAAATTTTGATTTTGAATCTTACCAACAAAACTCAAAAAAAAAAAAGCAAAAACTAAATATTAGATTTTTGGAAGCTTATAGGTACAAAAGTAATAAAATCAGTTTTCAGGAGAAACCCAAATAGGAGAAAATCCAGTCCAGCGTGAAACAATATCCAAGTGATTACATTTCTTCATAATTGATTACCAACAAAAATCAGTTTTAAGCAAAACTCAGTGGATCATCATTGATAGGAGTTTTATCTGCTTTTAATGCTGGATAAAATCCAAGAGCGTTTAGCACAACATCTTCATTTGACACATGAAGAAGTAGAGACTTAGCTCCCTGCGGATGACCCTGAGCATGTTTCTCATGCCTTCACTCCAGCTTCACGCAGTGCACTTGCACTTCTGCACGTGTTCACCCCACACAGGCATTTCAGAATCCATTGGTTTGAACCGGTTTGTGTGTTCTGCAAATGAGATGACTGATGACACCCATCCTCTTGCAGTTGCCTGGGCTTGTCATCTTAGCCTTGCCCTGTGACTACCCTCATTCTCACCATGGCCACTCAATCCACTGCCAAGCCCTGTAGCCCCTCCTCTTGCTGTGTTGCTCACAGTTCTTGCTTCCTGTCGGTCTCCACTAAAACTTCCTCAGGTCAGGCCCTCACAATTTCTTTCTTGACTAATTGTATTTTCACAGCAATGAAAATGCTGTTCTCTGCACCTTTAATCTCTCCATTACGGCTTTGCAGTAAGTGGATAAGGCAGGCTCTGATACCAGATTGCCTATATTCAAATCCTGACCTTGGGCCTCTTCTCTGTAACTGGAAATCACAACATTACTCGCATGGTACTGTGAGGAGAAAACAAACATGTTATACATACAAAGTCTTCTCAACACCTACTAAATTGGTAGAAACTACTAAGCCGGTCTACTTTATTTCTTTTGTTCCACTAGCCACCTTAAGAACAATGGTTTTTAGTCAACATGGGCTGCTTATAGTTCTCTGAACATATCCCACACTCTTCCAGCTTTCTTTTGCCCATGTTGTTCCCACAGTCTGCAATGCCAACTGACCTTATTCTGTCTCCTCCAGTCATGATGTTGTCCTTCCTTATAACTATTCTAGAAAGCAGTTGGCTGACATGTATGAAAAGCCTTAAAAATTATCCTGCCTCTGGGCCGAGTTTGGCTGTTCATGGCTGGGTTCTTTTACATACTTCGGAGTTGGTTAAATGTAAACTTGTCTCGGGTGGTGATATGGTTTGGCTCTGTGTCCCCACCCCATTCCTATTTGTCGAGGGAGGGGCCTGTAATCCCCGAATGTCAAGGGAGGGAGGTGATCGGATCATGGGCATGGTTCCCCCATGGTGTTCTCATGATAGTGAGTGATGGTTTTATAAGTGTTTGGAAGTTCCTCCTTTGTTCTTCTTCTCTCTCCTGCTGCCTTGTGAAGAAGGTCCTTGCTTCCCCTTCACCTTCTGCCATGTTTGTAAGTTTCCTGAGGCCTCCCCAGCCATGTGGAACTGTGAGTCAATCAAATCCCTTTCCTTTATAAATTACCCTGTCTTGGGTATTTCTTTACAGCAGTGTGAAAATGGACTAATGCAGGTGGCTTCAACCTGGACAACTGGGCTCTCTTACTACATGATCTCTCATTTTCTAGTAGATGAGCCTAGACCTAATCATATGGCAGCAGCAGGGTTCTCAGAAAGGCAAAGCAGAAAAGGTCTTTTGAAGTGTTGGCTTTAAACCAGATCCTCATCCTTCCACCACATTCCATTGGCCAATGCAGATTGCAAGGCCAGTCTAGCTTCATGGATTAGGAAAGTAGATTTTGCCTCTTGATGTGCTGAGCTTCCAAGTCACATTACAGCAGACTCAGATAAGGGAGGGGTGAAGAATAGGTGGTATTTTTTCCCCAATAGATCCTGCTAGAGATGGACAGAATTCTTACCTTTGAGGGTAGGACATGAAAATTAAGATCTGGCAGTACGGTGTAGTAGTTGAGTGCTCTGGAAACAGCAAGCAGACCTGTCACTTACTGACTGGATCCTCTCGGCAGATTATGCACATTCTCTATGCTTTACTTTCCTCATTTCTAAAATGAGAAGCGTTCCTACCTCATGAGCTGTTGAGAGGATTGAATGAGTTAATATATCTAAAGTGTTTAGAATCTCACCTGGCATAAAATGTGATATGAACTATTATTATTATATAAGGCAGGCAAAAGAACATCGTGTCCTGGGGTCTGTGTTTTAATCTCTGCTCTAGGAGCTGTATGCCTAACCCTAACCCTATATGAAATGATATATCTTAATATATATATGTCATTTTAATCTACTCATCCATCAATGGACAATTGAATTGTTTCCACTTTTGGCAATTGTAAATATTGCTGTTGAGTCTCAGCTTTCATTTCCCTTGAGTGTATGCTTAGGAGTGGATCTGAGGTTAAATATTAAGTGTTTTGTGACTATAGGGAAAGCAAAGCAAAATATGATGTCCAAATGTCCCCCTTCCCCTACCCTGGTTTCTCCTGAAACTACTGCCCAGAGATGTTTCTCCTGTCTGTCCCCATAATTCGAATTATGTAACTCTTCCTTATAATCTGTTGGAAAGCATTGCAATAGCTGGGCTACTTGTCTGCCTCACCTACTATGTCTGTAACTCCTGGAAGG